ATATCTTTTAAGGCATAACCACCTGCCAGTAATTTTCCACTAGAGCCGGTCAACTGTTTGAAGGACCTTGAGAATGTCTGCTAGGGCCGGCTCCCAACACTCTTGTCCTCTGCTTAGTGAGGGGGTCACGGTCAGCCTGGGGTGACGCTGCCAATTTGAGTTTTTGCCTGTTTATGGTCCTTCCTCTGGAAGACATGAATCAGATTTTCCTAAACGATTTGGATTCTACTCCCACTCCTCCTGGAGTTAGCTTCCTGTTTTGTTTTATATTTCTTAAGCATGCTCTTTAATGCTTTTTATCCCTGGGTGATTTTATCTGCTGTTAGAGTAATGCTAGTAACATGCCTTACAGTCTCAGTGGCCTGGTTCTTGGGCATACATGGGTAATAAAATACATCGATAGCATAGTGGATTAAGGATTAGGCTGCTTTAGTGAAGGTTGGCAGTTCCAGTCCACCAGATGCACTGCAGGAGAAAGATGAGGCAGTCTGCTTCCATACCGATTGACAGCCCTGGAAACCCTGTGGATCAGTTCTCCTGTGTCCCATAGGGTGACTGATGGCAGTGGGCTTGGTTTGAGGTTTTGCTTTGCTTTACTGATTTCGTTAACCTGTCGTCTATACCCTGGGGCATCTGAGTTCGAACCCCCAGTCGTCCCTTCTGGTCTTTTTCTTAGTATTAGTTTCCTGTTGCGATTGTAACAAAGCACCACGAACTTAGTGGCTTAAACCACACACATTTATTCCTGTGATAAGCATTTTATTTTCATTATCTCTTGAGGGTAGGTACCATTGTCATCTCCACTTCAGGGGTAATAAACTACATCTCAAGTGAGTCAACATAATGCATACTCCTAAACCTCTTTTCTTCTGCCACGACATACCCAAGTGCTCCTCAGCGCAAACACTTCCCCTCCCTGAAGCTTTCCCGGTCTCTTGAGCAATGATAGCCTCGCATTTGGATCTTTTTCTTTCATAAAGGTTCCTACAATTCTGTAGTAATACTTTTGGACCTGCTGTCATGTGTGTCTATACATACATACATACATACATATATATATATATATATATATATATATATATATATATATATATATAGAAAGAGAAGTTGATTTATTTCAAGTAAACAGTTCCTGCAAGTCCCAAAGCTTTGGTCAGATAGTAGGTTGAGGGCCTGCTGGCAGGCTGGAGTCTTTTGTCAGCTTCTCTCCTAGGAACTGGAAGTCAGGCGACTGGCAGTACACGGGGAAGAGAGAGCACTTTTCAGAACACCCATTTATAATCTAGAGGCAGTCCACACTCCCACGGAAGCCCCCTTTCAACTGACTGACTGCTCACACCGTGGAAGGCCATGACATACTCTATTATGGAAGAGCACCCCGTCCAGGGTCTGCTGAACTGCTGAGAATCACAGCCTGGCCAAGTCAACACCGGACATGAAACATCTCAAAGCCTAAGGAGAAACATGCACAAAGACTTGGAGCAGGAACGCGTGGGACTCGCAGAGAGCTGAAGGCCAGTGTAGCAGGGGCGTGATGGAGGAGGAGAGAGCTTGGGGGGGACAGCTGAACTTGATCATGTGGTCCGTCCCGCATGGGACTGGCTGAGGGGCTTAGTTTTCATTTTCCATGTGATGGGAGGCTGTTGGAGGGCTGTAAGAAGGATGCTCCAGCGAGTATGGAGAGATTTGCGGGGACGGCAGTCCAGGTGTAGGGATGATGGGGCTTGGACTGAGTGCTCCTAGGGAACTGGATGAGTTTGGAGAAACAACGGACAGCTCTGGCAACCGTACTTCTCTTTGCCCTTTTCCCCAGTGTTTTGACTTTGGCTTCCTTTCGGACGTTTGCGAGTCTCCAGGGAGAGTCTCCTGGCTTTGCCAGCTTCATGGCGAGGGGAAAAGAGTGGGAGGCCTGGATCCCATGGTTGTTGTCTGGCCTTTGCTTAACCTGTTGGTTTGGCTGGGAGGCTGCGACCAGCCTCGGTCAGCGCGGCTCTTTGGTATGCTGAACGCTTAGGTCATGTCTGGATGTTTCTGCCTCAGACCTTGTCTCCATCCCAAACCAAACATGTTACCTTCTGGGAAGCCTACCCCTCTGGAGGAACTGTATTCGTGCCTTTGCTGATGGGGCGTCTCTAGGTCTATCCTGGGGGTCCCTGCCCCTCCTTTCATGCTTGAGAGGAGGGGACATTCCTGGGGTTCTGTGTCCCTGAAGGGCGAGTCCAGCCTGGCCAAGAGCAGCACTGCTGAGAGGCTTGGCTGCACCCCTCCCTCTAGAGGCACAGGTAGGGAAGCCCGAGCCAGGGACCACTTTGTCGTTGGAGAGTGGTCCGTGCACAAGAGCTGTTTTTGCTAGCTGCTTCTTCCCAGCCCCTTCTCGGCTGTTTGTAGTTCAGGAAGAAGGAAATTGTGCTCTCGCTTCCTTCGCCTGTGCAGCTCTCGCGGGGTCTAGTGAGTTTTCAAAACCGGAGCTCACTTGTTCTCACTGAAAGTCCCCACCTTTGGCTTAAAAAAAAAAAAAAAAGTGCTTGTACCCAACGGTGACTGGGTTCACAGTAAAGAAGCAAGTTTATCGTGTAGTTTATCCACAATGCTGGTGGCCGTTCCCTCCTCAGCTTTTAGCCACCCGAAGCGACCCATTTTCGAGAAGAGAAACAGGCTGAGAGGGTGACAGGACCTGTTGCCAACTACTAGGGTTTGCAGCAAGGCTTCGAAGGCAGGTTCGACCCCAGCGCCCGTCATCCTGCCCGTGGCCAGCCCTGCTGGTGGGAGGGTGAGAGGAGGCTGCCATCGCGAGGGGCAGTTCTTATCCCCAAGGCAGCAGTAAGGAGTGGACCCCAGGGGACCCTCCTGAGACCCAGGGAACCCTGGGTCCCTTCATCCCCTGCAATCTCCTTCCTCTTCCTCTTCCTCTTTTTTTCTGTTTAAAGACAGGACCCCAAACCGCCAGTGCCTTCAAGCTGATTGTGATGCATTTAGACTCCTATAGGACAGAGTAGAGCCGGCCCCTAAGGTTTCTGAGGCTGTCAATCTTTATGGAAGCAGACTGTCTCACCCTTCTCCCACGGGGCAGCTCGTGGGCTCCCACCACCGACTGACCTCTCCGTTAGCAACCCTGTGCTTAACCCACCACACCACCAGGGACTCTCCTTAAGTGCGTGGCAGTTGCGTGTTAACGGAGGCCCCGGGATTGGTTTGTCTCTGCACATTGACGTTGTCACTACCCTGGAGTCCCCACACGGAGGGGAAGCGGTGGGGCTCACAGACCTGTGGGACACATGAGGTGCACACGGAGGAAGGTGGTGAAGAAGACAGATAGGCGAGAGCCCCGTTTAGGAGCGAGTAGAAATTTGGGGTCTCTTTAGGAAGGTGATTTGGAGGAGAATTCACTCCGCTAGAAGAAGGGCTAGCATTTGTAGCCAGAAAGGAATCCTTGTTCGTCCTCCAGCACAGTTGGTCCGGGCTCTCTCCTCAGAGGTGTGATCACTTAGCCTAGTCCCCATCCTATTAGAACTGAAGGACCTTTTGAAGTTTCCAGTTAACCTTGGGGAGGATTGCTTTATTTAAAATATTCTTATACTAGGAGAGCAGATCTTAAGTTAGCGGAGTCGTGGGTGGAGGCCTGCGCTTTCTCAGTGGCTTGTGTTAGGTACGCGATAAGTGGATTTTCCTCCGGCTGTTTGGCACACTCACATTGCTTAGCAAAGTGTGACATGCTAGTCCTCCTGTTGTTACCAAGGTCCAACACCAGCCCTCAGTGCAGCTGGATTATAGGACTGGGTGTTAGCCGTCAGTTAGGGTCCTGGAACAAGATGGTGATCCGGGAAAGAGTTCTCTAGCCTCCTTTGGATACAGAGGAAGCCTTGGGCCAAACTTGGGCACCGGCCATGGTTTCCCCAAGACTTCTCCAGTTCCTTTGCCCGTGACCTCTCTTCTCCCTAGTGGCAGCGTAAGGAACCGGGTGGCGCAGTACTTAAGTGCTCAGCTGGAAGGAGCAGTGACCCTCCGTCCCTGCAGACCTGCCTGTGGATCCGATTGTTTAGTCGCTGTCAGAGTCGAACTGCTCCCTGGGGTTTTGACGGCTTTGACGGGTAGGGAGCGGGTTGCCAGGCCTCTCTTCTGAGGCACCTCCAGGTGGGTGCCAACTGGCAACCTTGCGGCTAGTAGTTGAGCAATTACCATTTGTGCCACCAAGGGGCTCCTCAGCCCTGCTATTGACCTGGGATCGATTGGGCAAGTTGCTTCGATTCTTTGTGAACATTTGTTTTCTCATGGACCATTGGCCCTATCCTGGTAAGCCGTCATGAGGATAAGGGCTGATGTGTTGTATGGGGGCAGCTTGAGTGGAGACCCCGGGGCCGACAGCTCGGGTTACAAGCCTTATTTTGGGCAAGTTGCTTAAACTCTTTGTCTCACTGGCTTTCACTGGATGGTGTGCACTGCAACCTCATACCTGCTTCCCTCGCATGGGAATCTTTCTCAGGCAGGGGCTTACCGGCTAGCAGGACCTGGCGTGGCTTTGGGTGTTGGTTTTATTTTCCAGAGCCTCCTGAGTTGGAGGAAGCGCTTCTGCTTGGTCCCTGGCAGGTCAGGACCGGGTCTGCTGGCAGCGACTGGGGCTCCAACAGGGCATCCCCAACAAGTTGATGTCTGGGGAGACGCCGTTTAGAGCGTCATTGACACTGCTAACAGCCAGCCAGCCCTGCTTTCCAGAGAACAACAGATGCCTAAATGTCGGGCAAGGAAGAGCGTGATCGGAGTCTACGAGGAAAGAAGGTTTTACCTATTTCTCTGACTTGGCTTTGAGGAGAGAGATGCTAAGGGAAACAGCTCTGTTGGCCTTCTTTAACTAGGGTCCAGTACCGTACGCTAATTAAAAACGAGTTCCACTTGTCTCTTCAGCTAGACTGTTGGTTCCTTGGGCGCAGGTGACCAGGACTCAGCAGGCCCCGCTGGCCTGGCCCAGGCCCGAGCGCCACCTCCGTTTCATCTTTATCTTCCAGAGCGAGTACATTGCCCCATGCGACTGCCGGCGGGCCTTCATCTCTGGATTCGACGGCTCTGCGGGTGAGTCGCCAAATTCTCCCTCCATTCGGGTTAGACCTTTGCTCTCCTTCCCAAAGAAACAGGGCCACGTTTGGGCCTGTAACCCAGAACCAAAAGGAAACGTGAAGCCAACACTCCCCGTGAGCCTCTGTGGGAGAGGGGTGTGCGCTGTGAGCTCCGAGCATGCCCGACTCTGAGGTCCCCTCTTGGTGACCCCTCTCCTCTCCTCTGCCCTCCCTGCCTTTGCGTTGACATTTCAAACCCGTGTTGGTAAACGTTTTTGTTTTTAACTTTTTACTGACCATAACATATATACAGAAAAGTCTGTCAATGAAATGGAAGATGCTTCTGTAACTGCATTCTACATAAGAAATGGGACATTAACAGTACCCTAGAACCCCTGGCCTTAGCTGTCTAAGTTAGTCTTGAATAGTAATTCTCCATGTGCTTGGCTTTTTGTTTCACTGTTTCCCCTTTAGATTTAAAGAACAACGCTTAGCCACTTCCCCTCGACTTGCTAGGCTTGGCCAGGTACCTCTTGCCCACAACTAGCACCTGGCTTCCTTTGGGGAGGGCTTGTGCTAGTGGGTGCTTCATGGGCGGTCATGCCTGACGCCTCGGCTGCAAGGCCAGGCCTTTGAGGAGGGAGGGCAGGTAGGGGTGGGAGGCACAGATTCCCTGCTGGTGACCGCCGAGTCCTGGGCATTCATGGGGTTCAGTTGGCCACTCTGGTGAGCCTGCAGCTGAGTGACAGAGTTTGCTCCACCATGGGGCTCACCAGACCCACAGTCCTCTGCTCTGCCAGCCTTGACACGTTCTCTGGACATCGGGTCCTTTCTGTGTAGGGACAAGTGGCCCTGCAATACAGATCTCAGGACTGCTTCCTTCAGAGTGTGACTCGCCGAGTGGTTTCCCTGAGGGCCAGGACCCATCTGACCCAAAGTCACACTGGTGGTGGGTGGCCGGGCACCCCTCGCTGCTGCTTCTGGGTGGTTGCCGAGAGCCCTCTGTTCTTGCTCCCTGCTGCAGGCACAGCCATCATCACAGAGGAGCATGCGGCCATGTGGACCGACGGGCGCTACTTCCTCCAGGCCGCCAAGCAGATGGACAACAACTGGATGCTCATGAAGATGGGTGGGTAGGGGTCCCGCCAGGCCAACCTCAGGGCCGGCCTGGGGTGGGACCCTCAACCTTTTCGGGGGGCCACAGACCTTTGGGATCCAAAGAAAAAGCTTTGTTTATATTTGCGTTCCCTGGACCTTCAGTTTGGGGTTGGAAGGGAGGTCCCTGGGGAGCAAATAGGGAAGCACTCGGCTTCTAATTGAGATGGGTGGTTTGAGTCCATCCCGGGGTGCCTGGGCTAGACAGCACAGTGTTCTCCTTCTGAAAGCCCAGCCATGGAAAGCCTGTGGGCCCCAGCTCTGCGCTGGCACACGCGAGGTCCCTACCCTTGGGACTTGACTTGGTGGCAACTAGACAAAAAAACCTTGTTTTTTATTTTGGTTCAGGGCCCTTGTTTCATTGAGGGGCAACTGAGGGCTGGCCGGAGAGACAGTTAATGTGCTGCAGGTGACACAGTTTGCCGGGCACTGGACTCATGCCCTGGGTACCTATGCACCACTCTTTCTTACCTTGTGCCTCAGAGTGAGCTAAAGGCAGGGGTCCTTGGCAGCCCGGAAGTTCTCCCCAAAGATCTCTCTGAGGGACCCTAGACTTGCTTCAGGCAGCTGGGCTTTAGAGCAAGGGCAGGGAGAATGTGGGTGTGGCGTGTTCTTGGTTGAGTGACCTCACTTTTCAGTGCTTCAGCTTCTTATGTATGAGATAGGATGCCAATGGGAAGTGCCACACAGCTGTGAGGGTGACATGGAATAATATGACAGGAGCACAGTGCAGTGTCTCCTGAATAGTGTGTGTGTGTGTGTGTACTCTGCCTTTCCTTTCCCTGTGGGCTGTGCGTGTTTTCTCCATGTCATTGAAACATTCAGTAGAAACATGGTTTTAGTGATGGTACGAAGGCCTCTTCCTCCTATTTGGAACCCAGTGAGCAGACAGCAAGGAAAGAAGGGAAAGAGGAGCATTCCGAGTGAGGACGAGGAGATGAGCTGTTTCTTGTCTGTTATAGCAAGTGGGGGGCGCAGGCTGTCACCAGCCTCACAGTTCAGGGGACAGAGGGCTGTGCCGTGATACCGAGATCCCAAACCAGGCAGCTAGCACACGGAGGGGTGTGGATGTGTGTGCGTGCCCACTGGCGAGCTCACTGTCCACGTGCACACACATCGTGTTGTTTGCCTTAGGGACAAATTATGACAATAATTTGCAAGCACATGTATGTTGTTTGCCTGAGGGACAAAAGCTGGTTTTTATTCAGCTTTGAATTTAAGTTCCTATTTTTCAGAAATCTCTTTATATTTTTAGAAATACAAAAGCGCCCAAGCCACAGTTGGATTGTTATTGTAGTTTCCTCTCACTTTTTTGTGTGGTGCTGTGGTGGACATTTGTTGTGGTTTGGGTGAAAGCTCACAGAACATGGATTTCCCTGGCAGCAGTCTGTACTTTGTTTTGCTACCTGCGCTTCAGCCCCTCAGTGTAACAGCGCTCTTCCTGCTTCCTCCCGGTTCCCTGCTTCCGTTTCTCCTTCTCTCTTGACCTTCCTGCACGCTGAGGTTTGTTTTTGGCCTGTAGACTTTTTTGACAGCCTGCTTCTGTGAATGGAGCATGTACCCTCTGTGTGTGTGTGTGTGTGTGTGTTTACACATCTTATGTGTGTGCTGATACTCATCTGTATGCAGCCGGCTAAGTGCTCTGCTACTAAGGGAAAGGATGGCAGTGTGAGCTGACCCAGAGGTGCCTTGGCAGAAAGGCCTGGCGGTCCCCTTCGGAAGGCTCATAGCCAATGAGAACACAATGGAGTGCAGTGCTGCTCTGACACACTGGTGGGGGTGCCCTTCATGAGTCGGAATCAGCTCAAGGGAGTCAAACTTGGTGATACTAGTAAAAATGTTGACATTTTTAGAAAAAAGAAATGTAAATAAAATTCATATTTTTCTTTCACCTGGTGTACCATCTTGTGAACCGCTGAGGCCTGGACACCCCTCTTTGGGGTCTGCAGACTCAGCTGTTAGGGGTGAGCATGTGAGAGGAGCAATCCGTGCCTGCTGCTTTTTGAAGCAGGCGTGTGGTGAGATGGGCATGGATGGGGCCGGGTCACCTTCCCTTCCCAGCCCCTGTCACGGTGACTTTCTTCCCTAACCTCTCCCTTTTTGGGGTGCATCTCTCCAGGGTAGGGCGATTATTCTGGTGGGTTAGGCTGGCCAATGAGCGATCCACTCCTGGGCTTTTTTTGAAGGTCTATCTGCTGGGAAATGGAAATTACTTCATCCTCCGCAAGTTCTACTGGAGGACCCAAAAGAAACTTTGTTAATAAGTGGCTTATTGAGCAGTTTGGAATAAAGAAAACAACAACAACAAACAACAAGCAGGCAAGAATCATATGCAAAATAAAAACCCAGTGCCTGCTTCTGGAGATGTATTAGAACTTGGCTCCATGAGCCCCTTTCTTCAGACACGTTTGAACTTGCTTCGCGTGGTTGTGTGGTGATCAGGGAAAAACCCCATTCACTGCCATGGAGTCCCTGCTGACTCACAGCGACCCTATAGGATAGGGTTTGAGTTTTGAATGTTGTAACTCTTTACAGCAGTGGTTCTCACCCTTCCTGATGCCACGACCCTTTCATACAGTTCCTCATGTGGTGGTGACCCCCCAACCATAACATTATTTTCGTTGCTACTTCATCACTATCATTTTGCTCCTGTTAGGAATCCGGCCACCCCTGTGAAAGGATCGTTCGACCCCAAAGGGGTCGTGAACCCACAGGTTGAGAACTGCTGCTTTACAGGCATGGAAAGCCACCTCTTTCTCCTGCAGAGCAGCTGGTGGTTTTGAACTGTTGACCTTGTGGCTAGCAGCCTATGCTGACTTTGATAAAAATGTGGTGTGTGTGTATCTTACAACAAAGCTATTGCTTAGCCAAATTCTGGGGAGTGTAGGGAAGAATATCTTCTGAAGCATGTGGTTTGGGAGAGAGGAAACCCAGACTGGAAGACTGCCCATAGCTCTTTTCTTGGGGCTTTGCGTGGGTTTCCCACGACTGGTTTCTTAGGGACAGAAAGGCCATGTGATCCTGGGAGCCGGGCATCTCGGGCACTTAGAGAGTTTCTGGTGGCGGGTGCCTGTGTGTCCTTCTTGTCATCTTCAGAAAGATTGCTGCCAAAACATCTCAGCCCTGGAGCCGGCGGCCTGGAGGTGGGGCAGGCGGCTTGTAGGCCCAGAGAGCACACTGGTGGTGGCGGTGATGGTGGTGGGGTGCATTTCTCCGTCCCTGCCCGGAGCTGGGGCCACCTTTGGCTTCTCAGCAAGGGGCCAGGAGTGAGACCAAGGAGGTGGCACTGACATTCTGTGTTGGATCGAGTCCCATGATGGCATTTTTTTTCTTTTTTCTGGGGCTGAGTGAAAATGATGCCTTTTTTGGGTCCCCTCCCCACCCCATCTCGCCCTTTCTTGACTTCCTTTCATACAGTCTTTTTTCTGTAGTCTTATCCTCATCTGTTTGCTGTCCTCCAGGATGAAGCCCCTCAGACTCTCCCAAGCCTGCAGGGGGCCAGGGTGGGTGAGGTGCTGGGCTGCCAGCTGCAAGGCCAGCCGTTAGAACCGTCTGCCGCTCCTGGGAGAATGAGGCTGTCTGCTCCCAGCAGGATTTCCAGTCTCGGAAACACGGAGGAAGAGCACTTCCCCTCTGTCCCTAGGTCGCTGTGCGTGAGAACGGCCCGATGGCAGGTGGTTTTATGCTGACGTCAGGAGCCCGGCCGTGTTGTGGGGTACACATGGGCTGCTAACGGTCAATGCCAATCCATTTCTGCCCTGTAAAGATTTACTCTCTCGGAAAGCCGTTCTAACTGTGAGTCCCCATGGACTCGATGCCGATGTCTGCGATGCACCTTTTGGGTAGGACAATCGAACGGCTTCTTCTCCGTCCTTCCTGCCGCAGGTCTGAAGGACACACCGACTCAGGAAGACTGGCTGGTGAGCGTACTTCCTGAAGGATCCCGCGTTGGGGTGGACCCACTGATCATTCCCACAGGTGAGGAGCTGGACAGGAAGTGGGTCCAGACGCCTCTTCCTTCTCATTTGCTGCTGGAGGGAACATCTGGGGGCTCTGTGTGCCCAAGGTCACAGTGAGGCAGCTCTGGAGTGGGGGCAGGGGGCGACCTTCCACAGCTGCTCGCCCTGCACACGTGGCATGGGCCCGCAGCAGCATTTCCTGGCAGAAGGCTCCAGCCGGCAAGGGCTGGCTGAAAGGAGCCTTCAGTTCACAGCCGGGCCATGTGCTTCCCCAGATTACTGGAAGAAGATGGCCAAGGTCCTGAGAGGCGCCGGCCACCACCTCGTTTCCATCAAGGAGAACCTCGTCGACAAAATCTGGACGGACCGCCCTGAGCGCCCATGCAAGCCCCTCCTCACTCTGGGCCTGGATTACACAGGTCAGCACCCGCACTGTGGCCCCAGCCGCTACCCTACCCTGCCACTATCTCCTGCCTCGTCTTCAGCAAGGAGCCCTGGTGGCAAAATGGATTATACATATACTGCTAACCATCAGCTTAGCACTTTGAATCCACCAGCCGTCCATGGGAGAAAGATGAGGCTTGGGCTCCCATAAAGAGTTACAATCTCAGAAACCCCCAGGGCCGGGTCTCCTCTGTCCCGCAGGGTTGCTGTGAGTCGGCACCCACTCGGGGGCGGTGAGTTCCTCAGAGTCCTCAGAGTCCCAGTGGTGCTTGAGTTGACGGAGGAAGTTGGCATTTGAGGAAGGCAGACTTTTTCCTGGTTTCCACAGTTGCTGCTCGCCACGCCAGTTGGCTCCGTGTATCCGAGCAGAGTTCCTCTGGGTGCTCTCTGGGTGCTGCTGAGTAGCTGAGCCCTCCCCACCACCTGCCACTCGAATGTGTCTCCCGGGAGAACCAGCCTCGGGCTGTTTCTGGCGTCCGGTCCTTTACTTCTGCCGGTGTTTTCCGGTCAGCCTTCTTAGACCCACCTTGTAGTTTCTTCACTTGAGGATGGTGGGTGAGGGGCAAGTGCTGTGAACCATTTGTGACATGACAGACAAAGAGTGAGACTTTCTGAATCCGGAAAGTGGGAGCAGACCAGAAGTGGGGGATGCAAGGGCCGAGGCTTCTGTTGCATCAGAAAAGGTGAGGTGGGTGTAGGGGCAGGGGGTCCAGGGGGGTCCTGGGCAGAAAGCAGGGCTTCCCAGACTCCCGGCCAAACTTGACCCAGCATTCCCCGGGGTGACCACCAAAGCACTCAGGTTGTGGGGCGGCCCCCACCTGCTCTCCTGGTGACACTGTCACTGAAGGGTGCCTTGGATTGGGATTGGGAGGCCAATGAATGGCCCAGGGGTCAGCTCAATATTGCCCCTCACTGTGTGTTGTATGTTCTCAGTGAAGCAGAGGCTCAGATGGGTTTCCTCTAGGAGAGGGAACTCCAAGCGGTGCAGACATTTGCTCTGCAGACATTGGGGTGCCTCTCCTGGCCAGGCCTCTGGGCCCGGCGCTGGGTGGATACAACAGCCACTCTCCTGTCCATGGGGCTCTCCCCCGAGTCCAGCACCATTTCATGGAGGGGCTGGGGATGGGGGTTTGGTGGCATTTTCGATGGGGGTGAACCCTTCGAGAGCGGCGAGTGAGGCCATGGCTGTGGCTGGCACAGGAAGTGTGACTGGGAAGAGGTTGTCCAGTGTGGAGTCAGCTGGCCGGAGTCCGGGTGTCGGCACCAAAAGGCACATCTCGCAGACCCACAAAGCTAATGTGGTGGGTGAAGTTCCACTGACCTGAGAGTGTCTGAGTTCTCGCCTTGGGACGGCGGGGTGGGGCCTGGCCTTATTGCCACCTGTGAATCAGTCATGGCTGGGTTTCATTGCTGTCCCTTCTAGGTAGGGATCCCCATCGGGCGGGAGGAGCAGGGACGGATTCTGCTCCAAGCAGTAACCACAGTGGTTTGCCTTGTTCCTGGCAGACATCAATGCTTCACACCAATTTCTAGGTGCTTCATCGGCTTGTGTTGGATGAACACATGGCTTACTCTTGTTGGCAGAGCACTTAGGGCTTCACTGCCCTCAAGTGGCTTGGACCAAGCCACACCTCCGTGTGAGGCTGGCATCTAGGCTCCTGCTTGCTCGAGCTCTTTAGATGCCGTTTCATCTGGCTCTCCTAGCCCCCCAGGACCACCGGGGCTGGCATCTCAAACACATTTGTTTCTTGCAGGGATCTCATGGAAGGAAAAGGTTGCTGACCTCCGGTTGAAAATGTCTGAGAGGAACGTCGTGTGGTTTGTGGTCACGGCCCTGGATGAAATAGCATGTGAGTGCTCTGGTTTCATGGTTTGGGCGTGCTGCCTGCTCTCCCCTGGAGTGCTCTAGGAATCTGTGTGTTCATGCTGCACAGCTCTCTGCGTGGCCAGGGAAGAAGCAAATGTTGATGTCATCCATTGGGACAAGAGATGGCAATGAGGATGGAGGAGAAAGGAGGACAGGGCAGAGGAGAGGGGGACATAGCTGTGGGTTATGTCCACCTCTAGCTGGCCTCTGTGGAATGGCCATCCCTCCCCCTAAATGTGTTTCACGAAAGCTCACTATGCAGAAGTGGGGTTATTTTCTAAGGTCTTCACCAAGAGAATGTTCTAGAAGCATTTCTACTGTGGAAAGTTGGAAGTGCCTTTTTCAATCTTCAGTCAGTAAATCTCTCCCAGGCTGTTGTTTACTACCTTTTGCCTTCATTTCGGACCAGTTGACAACTGTTTTTTTCCCCTTTTATCTTTTGGTATTATGAGTTTGAGGCTATGTGTGCGCTAAGACTTTTGACTCATCTTGACATTACCTGTCAGAAGGGTTGTACAGCTGTGTCTGAGAATGGCCCTCGCTGGATGCCTTCACCCTCCCCATGAACTGTGGCTTGAAGAAGAGTGTTAGTGTATAGATACAAAGTGTTACACCCCCCCTCCGCCCCCTGCTTTGCTGTAAGGAGCCTTTATATTGAAGCGCAGGCAGTGCCCTTGAAGTCAGGGTTGTGTTGTGCACTCTGATCCTCCCCAGCACGCTCGCCAGGGAGCTGAAAAGGCCCGAGAGACCACAGGTGTGCCTTGTTTTCCAAATGTGCAGCCACCTCACCAACCCCCCTGACACTGCCCACAGGTGGGTCCTCCGCCCAGCAGCTCAGCTTTCACTCACAGGATACAGCCCTGCTGACTCATCGCCTTTCTTTCGGCCTCCAACTGGAAGCTCTGCCCCCTTTGGGCTAATTGACCCTTAAAGAGAGAGGGCCTCATTTGGCCTCCCTTGTGGGTGGGTCTCAGTTTTTCTACCCTGGTTTACTTACTGCAGAAGAGAGAACAAAATATTGCTTCCCCTTTATTTGGGAGCCTTAGAAATTTTTCTGCTGCAGGGCCAGCCCTGGCAGGCCTCTGCCAGGCAGGCCATTCCAACTCTTTGTTTGGAGGGCGATTCTCCTGTTTTTAACTAGTAACTCTTCCATCCCCCTTCTGTGATGTGGTGGCCCAAGAAGCCGCTCTGGTGCCATCATGTGGTAGACCTGGGAAACTGCAGCTCAGAGGTGGCACTTGGAGCCGTTTCTGCATTTCTGAGATGGTGCTGGGTCCTTGGATGGCCCTGGACTCTCTCTTCCTACCAGCCGCCCTTTAAAGTGCCAAATCAGGCAGGTGACAGGGACGTTGCTTTTCTTTTTTAGGGCTATTCAACCTGCGAGGATCAGATGTGGAGCACAATCCGGTGTTTTTCTCCTACGCCATCATAGGCTTAGAGACAATCATGTGAGTTTATGTCCCTTACTGGAACGCCCTTCCTTGCCCAGTCAGCCCCATCAGTCACTGTCTGCCTTTTTGAGGAGGCTGCTTTTTCTTCCCTTTCCTTCTTGTCCTCCCTGATAGGAGGCATTTGTTTATACCCTGCCTCCTTGATGCTCCAAGATGACCGGGCGTTTTCTGTGCAATCTCGTTTCAATACAACATAAAAAGTAAGCGGTGAGGATGAGGACAAGCCTGGGTTGAGGCCGGTCCATGGCATTCTCCTGCGAGCGAGGCCTTGTCCCACTTGGGTTCCCTGCTTCCCAGCAGTCAGTGCGGCTGGGGTTATAAGCACCGCTCTGCCACTCTGGGCGCCCTCACATACAAAGAGCCCAGACCTTCTGAAGGCCATAGGCTGGAAACGGCCCAGGAAAGGCCCTTGGGTTGGCTGTATTGGCAGTGACCTTTCCGGAGGTGACCTTGCTGTGGTCTTCTCACTGCTGCTCGTCTCTTGGGTGGCTGTCTTCCTTCACCCGTCACATTCGAGAGTGTCTGCTGTGTGCCACGGTGTCTAGTCGGGCGGTGCTGGGGACACAGTAGTGAACAAGGTAGCATCTGAGCGAGCCCTCTGGGCATTTGGGCACATAAGTGGCACTGAGTCGTTGGCGTCAGGAGAGGACGCTTGAAGGGTCTTCACAGGGCAGGCTTGAGGGGTCTTCCGAGGGGTCGGAGAAGACGGGGAACCCTGATGATGAGGCAGAGACTGAAGGGGACTGTGAGCCAGCAGGGCTGAGGGGTGAGCCAAGCACCACTCGCAGAGCAGGTGGTGGGTGAGCCAGCGGGACAGGAGCGGCCCGTGTGGAGCAGCGGGCGCGCTTCGAGAGGTTGGAACCCCAGAGGAGGCGGTGTGCCAGCGGTGCCTGCCTCAGCAGTGGCCTGTTGGGCCAAGGTTAGGCGTTTGGGCTTTGCCTTGAGGACCACGGGGAGCCATCGGAGGAACTTTTGAGAGCGAGCCTCATGGCAGACTCGTCGTTAGAAAAGACTACGGTGGCAGTGGGGAAACCTGGGGCTGATGACACTTGTGTGCTCCCATAAAGATGCCCAGCCTCGGAAACCCAGGATAGGGTGGCTCCGAGTCGGAATCGACTCAGTTGCAGTGGGGTTGGCTTGGCTTGATTTCCTGAAATTAAAAACAAAAACAAAAACCCTTTCAAAAAGTCCTTTTGGCATGAAGAGCAAAAGAAAAAAAAAAGAAAACAGAAGATTATGGTTGTGAACACAGGCTAGGTGGGGACAAGGCTACAGACAGGGCACTAATCTCCGAGAGAAAGGAAGAGCCGAGTCTGGGCGCTGACTGGGTGTGCATAAGGAGAAAGGCACTGGGTGTGCATAAGGAGAAAGGCGGACACCTTTGGTAGGGATTTCAACTCCAGTTCAAGAGGCCCCAGTGACTGGGGGAGGGGCAACATCACGGAGGCCCATGCCAGGTTCCTGGGTTGGGGAGTTGGGTGGATGGTGACCGAGCCCACAGGTTGGGGAAGGATGGGAGGAAGGGCGGTTGCCCGTGATTGCAGAAGTACGTACCTCTGTGCGCCCACCCCCGCCCTTACGTGCTCACGCATATCCCCGCCCATGCGCCTCTGCAGGCTCTTCATTGACGGTGACCGCATAGATGCTCCCAATGTGAAGGAGCACCTGCTTCTTGACCTGGGCCCGGACACTGAGTACAAAATCCAGGTGGTTCCTTACAACTCCATCCTGAGCAAGCTCAAGACCCTGTGTGCTGCCCTCTCCCTGAGGGAGAAGGTGTGGGTCAGCGACAAGGCCAGCTATGCTGTGAGCGAGGCCATCCCGAAGGTTGGTGGCCTCCCTCGGGTCCCTCCACACCCTGCCAGACCCCTGGTCCAGCACGGGGTGACTGTCTGTGAAGCTGTCACTTCCCTGGCTGTCACCTCCTTTGCACAGAAGTCAGACTGAGAGTCTGACAAGTCACAGCTTGTCTGGCGTTTCCTGGAAGGGGGGGGACATCAGAGATACTGTGTGGTTCATGAACTGCATCCGTTTCGATAGCATTTTAGTGCAGGCCTCATGGGAGATGCGGTAAGAATCACTGCTGAAGACAACGTCGAGTTTAATGAAATACATTGATTTTAAGAGTATCATAAGTACATAAGAGCTCAGGGACCAGGCAGAACTATGAAGTTGGTATGAGAATGGCTGAATTTGGACTGGAATTCCCTGTCCCTGCCTCCCTAACACACCCACCCACCACATTTTGTAGCTAAGGAGACCTGAGGCCCAGGGAGGCTTGGTGAGTTGGGGGCTTGTCAAAGGTCACATGTTCGAGCTGCTCCCATTTCTGAGCTCCTGCTGGCCACTGCTAAGCAGCTGACACCTAACTCATTTAATGAGGACTTAGGGCAGGACTGAGATGCAGGCCACTTTTGCGGTAGCCTTCTCTACTGCCCATCCCAGGCCCCTGAGCCCCTGGCTCTCTCGTTGCCTGTGGCAAGCCCAAGATGTCTTCTCTTCTTCACTGAGCAGCGGGGTCACCCTGGGACGAGCCCAGACCGGGCCTGGAACCCTAACTTTCCACTGGCACCCTGTGGGTGACCCTGAGCCAGCCACGCAAGCTCCTCAGAGCTTTACATCTCCACTAAGCAGGGCTCACACCGCCTTCTGGTTATTTTGGGGGGCAAGTAGGTGAGAGGGAGACGAGGGTAGAGTGAAGAAGCTGCCTGCCCTTGAGACGCACATAGGAGACGGCCCTGAGTCCATCTCCTGAGATCACGGGCTGGTCTCACCTTCGGAGGCCCCTTGAAATCAGACCCTTAGCAGGACAGGAGCAGAGGTGTGATCACTGAGCGTGACCAGAGAGGGGGCGGGGGGCGGGGGCGGGGCAGCCCTCCCTCACCAGTCCAAGCACATCCCTAGATAGCAGCCGAGGGCCTCCTTTGTGCTCCAAGAAAGGCTTATTTCCATCAAGCTTTGATTGGTTCGTGACCTCTGACCACGAGCCGTGGAGATCTGGAAAAGCAAGATCTTGCTGATGGCTGGCTGCCAGCAGTCTCGAGTGGAGGGGTTGGGAGAGGGAAGAGAGATACCTGCTTGGTGTGCTGTCTCTCTGGGTGAGCTCAGGCCCTTATTCCTGCTTAGTTAGGTCGGCTAAAAGGGGGAGGTGGTCCTGAGGCCTCGGGACATCTGGGGAGGTCCTCAGGGGATGCTCTTCAAGTGCATCCTCTGAAGTGTGCTGTGTGGGGGAAAGGGGTGGTGGCTGCAGTCTCACGGGGTGCCACACTCGACTTCCCACGTGACTGCCCTCCGCCCGCAGGGTCATCGCTGCTGTATGCCTTATACCCCCATCTGCATCGCGAAAGCTGTGAAAAATTCTGCTGAATCCGAAGGCATGCGGCAAGCCCACGTGAGTAGCTCATCCTGTGCAGAAGGAGGGCTGCGTGGCTGGCAGAAGTCCCGGCAGCTCCCTAACCAAGCTGGAGTGTGGGATGAGACAGTAGGTAACGTCCTAGCCTCGGTCTCCTGGTCGTCTCCGAGCAAAGGCCCTCGATGGGCTAGATACTGAGTTTAAAGCACAGTACAAAGAGATACTGGTGGTAGTAGGGTCAGTATGGTGCTGATACGTGATGAAGTCTCTTAAGAGACCCAGGTTGGTTTTAAAGGCCAAGGCCCGGTCTAGAAAGCTCTGGGGCCTGGAGGTGTCTTTTGACAGCGACCTGTTGTTCTAGCCCACATGGTGCTGGAGTTCAGTCTACTGGGAGGGCTGCCTGGCTCTGGGGCTGGGCCCACTGCTATTTGTGCCTGGACCACGGAAGGGCCGGGGAGGGGACACGCTGCCAACAGGTTGGCAGTGCTCCATTGCAAAGCCGCGACTGCTCGTGGTTTGGCTCTGTAGGTAGCGTGCACGCAATCGGATTCGTCAGGCTGAATCTGGGCATCTGATGTCCAGTGATAACTGTAAAAAAACGTCTCCATTGTTTGCCCAGATCAAAGACGCCGTTGCCCTCTGTGAACTCTTCAACTGGCTGGAGAACGAGGTGGGTTCTTAGTCTTTGTTAAGCACATGGCTCAAGAGTATTTAGACAACAGCGACATGTGAGTCACTGTGGCTTCCTCTGTAGGCCAGGAGGTTTAAGATCTTGATCTGATTGTTGGATTCTCTTCACGCAGTTCTCTGGAACTTTGGAGGGGGGTGTGTACATAGGTTTCAGATTCTTTTCCATTGTAGAGAAGAGCCATGAGGATTAAGAAGGAAGCTCTGTGAGTGACTCCTTTGGGGCCTGTGGGATGACCCCCTAGCTACGGAGACTCACTGGGTGAAAAAGACCCTTCTGCTAAGATTGTGGGCAAGCCGACCGTCTTAGGAGGAGAAGAGCATCGATACATTTTAAAGTTGGAATGAAAGCATACCACTTTTTCATATTAAATCGACACCTGGCCACTTGTCCCCTGCCCTTTCACACCTTGTAATTGGCAGGAGGGTGATTCCTTTGTGTTGCCATTCAGCTTTGTCATGTTCCTTTCAGATAGCTGATTACACAAACAATTCTTTAAGAGTAGCCAAATTCCAAAAAGAGAAAGTGTCACCTGTTTTCCCAGGATTGTCACTTCCCCCCTGAGTTTCCTCCTCCTCGTTTCTGTGGGTGCAGGATTTTGACACATCTCCGGGTGCAGCGATGGTCCTGGGCGTGCTGCGTTCAGTTAGGACAGAGCACGCGTCTTCTGTGCGGTGTGCGGGCCTCAGCCGCCACCTGGGTGGAGACGGCCGCTCTTGCTTGTGCTCGGTCCCCGTTTCCCCTGTTTTGACCGGCTTAGATGGTTTCTGATTTTCTGCTCTTTTCAGTCACCCTACAATAATATCTTTGCATGGATCTCTATTTCATTTGGATACTTGTCTTAGGATTCGTTCATCGGAGGGCATATCCCACTTTTAACTTTTTAAACTTGGACACAGTAGGTTTTGGGGGAGTTTTTAGGATGTAATGCAGAGGCAAAAGAGTTGAGCAAAAATTAAACAGATAGGAATCTTTCTGCTTGACTTGAAAGCCTTTGAAAGAGCCCTCCCGGCTAAAGATGACACGCACAAACTGTGTCCCAGGGTGTGAAGAGCAGGGTACAGGGATGGAGGGAAAGGTGAGCTTTTCGCTTGTGTTCTGTAAAAGCATCAGATTTATTTCAGCAGATGGCATTGAAGCAACTTCCTCCTTGTAGGTTCCCAAAGGCGGCGTGACGGAGATTGGGGCTGCGGACAAAGCTGAGGAATTCCGCAGGTAAGACTTCATGTAGACTTCATGCGGATTCCCAGGGTGAGTCAGGGAGGCCCAGGGCCCTGCTTTTCCCCTGGTCTGTGGACAGGTGTGGGTTGGGGAGAATGGGGCAGGCACAGTGGCACAGTCCTCATGGCCCACCCTCCCTAACCTCGCCCTCTCTGTTCCAGGCAGCAGGCTGACTTTGTGGACCTGAGCTTCCCAACGATTTCCAGTACGGGACCCAACGGCGCCATCATCCACTACGCGTAAGGCATGCGGAGGAGCCAGTTGCCTGGCTTTGCTGCTGCGGCCACAGAGCAGCCTGAGTCGAGGAGGGACAGGATTCTGTCAGGCACTCCCACCCCCGTCGCCTCTGTGGGTCTGTTCTCAAAACTCACTGCCATTGAGTCGTTTCTGACTCACAGCGAGCCCTGTAGGTCAGGGCGAGCTGCTCCTCTGTGCTGCACAGACACCGGAGCTCCTGACCGGAGTCGAAAGCCTCAGTGCGGCTGTTTAAAATCGTGGGGAATCGCTGCATGACCAGTGCTCCTCTCCAAGTGTCTTTTGGGACTGTCCAATTAAGGGACATTCGCCAGCCTGGATTTGGCTCGATCTTTGAGGCCTTATTTTACCCAAATCCCAAAGTCCCTGCCTTTTGGGAACCTTCTCTTAAACTCCGACGCATGGCGCTGCCATTCTCCACGGCCCCGTGTTGTCTCGCCAGGTCCACTTTCCGCTCAGGCATCTGGAGCTATATTCAGAGCCCTCGGAGCTCGGTGCCCAGATTTTGAAGTGTTTTTCCCCCCTCTTTTAATGACAAGAAGGCTGTTTCATACCCAGAATGCTTATCATGGTGGCAGTGGGGCCTTCCGTTCTGAGTTGGGAGGGAATCGGTTCCTTCTCCCCGGGGCTCAAAGCCTGACATCTCAGTCTGTGGGACTTTCCCCAGAGAGTCTCCAAGAGCTCATAGCCCCAAACAATGGAGCCATGAGACCAGAAGGGCACGCGATGTATCGGCCAGCTGGACTTGGCTGTGGCGGTGAGGGGGGAGGCCCTCAGACTTGCCTACTGGGCTCCAGCTTCGCCCCAGCTCAGACCATTTTGCGCTCGTGTTTGGAGTCTGGTGCTCCCCCACCTGTGATGTGCCGCCCATGAAGCAGCACTGTCTCTGTTTCTGCGTGCTGTCCTTGGGCACAACCGTTTCCCCCCTTTTAGTATTCGTTTTTGCAAACTGTTCTTGGGGCAGATGATGAAGGCATATGGAGGGAGCCAATCACGACACGGCAGCATCGTGAACTGCTGAAAATGTGGAGGGGGTGCCAGTGTTTGTCTTGCGTTTGATTTGGGGGATGGGTTTCCTGGCTGGACGCCATCCAAAACCAAAGCCAAAGCCACTGCACTGTGGCCATTTCGACGCCCAGGGGCCCTGTGGGCTAGGGTAGAACTGTGAGAGTTTACGGGACTGTACATCGTTCCTGGATTGGACGGCCTCACCTTTGTCCCACGGAGCAGTGGGTGGGTTTGAACCTTAGGGTTCGTAGTCCACAACTCCTTGCACTATCCCCCCAGGGCCCTTTTGAATTCTCTCCTAGAATTAAGTAAACAATGAAGGCATTGAATTTCAGACCAAGCAGGAGGCCTTTGCTTCTCCTCTGGAGTTTCTGCTTGATCTTGTTGGAAGCTCCTTGAGAGCCGGGCCCTTGCCTGGTTGTCTCTGTTCGTCACTCAGCTCACATGCCCACTGGTGGCCTGGAGTGACCTCCCTTCAGCAGCAGGGTGGAGACTGGGAGTCATCTCTTTGGTGTTTCCCAGCACAGCGTTAGTGCCTGGAAAATCGTGTGGGAAAAGCATATCGCTTTTGAAGATTCCCTTAAGTTTCCTGTGGGAAAAATGGCTCTGCTATGAATAGCACAATCTACTCCTTTCCCTGAAAAATGCTCTCATTTTTTGCCTTGTGCATTGAAACATTTGCCCTTTGCCTGCCTGGTGGTATGAGGAACAAGTCAGAAGGTGCCTGGTGGGTTGAGGCTAAGGTAGGGAGCTGGAGGTAGAGGCCGGTGGCCCTGGGCGCCTGCTGCCAGCGAGTGCTGCGTGGACTCCCGGCGGCTCCATCCCCAGGCCCTGGGGTTCCTCCTGGGCCTGTGGCATCTCCTGGTGCCCGTTTAATAGCTCTTCTCGTGACCGTGCTTTGTTCCAGACGCGCACAGGGACATAGAAAGGAGCCTAAGGTGTTCTCCCTGGCCTTGGAGTTGGGTGGGTTGAGTCTTAGAACAGTAGACAGTGCATCTTAATTGGAATAATTAACTTATTGAGTAGCGTGTTATTAATAAGACATCATTTCAGACTGATTCAGAGTCACAGAAAGTCCAGGAATAGAACAAGGAGCTCTGTGTCCCCCGTCTCCAGCGTCACTGAATGTTTACACTTCAGGAACAGTTCTTTTTCTCGTGTCTTAGGCCAGTGCCTGAGACGAATAGGACCCTGTCCCTGGAGGAGGTGTACCTCATTGACTCAGGTGCTCAGTACAAGTAAGTCACCGAACTTGACCCCGTCCAGTGGGGGGCGGGGGGCTGGGTAGGTGGACAAGCCAGGCTCCAGCAGAGAGCACCCAGCTGGCGATGGCCTCCTGCGCCGGCCATTCATGGACTGGTTCTGGGGCCTTGTCCTTTTCTTCACCCCTAGATGAAATAGCCCAGTTGTGTCTCTGTCCCCTCAAAAGACTGATAGAAATGCTTAGCCCCCAGCTGGAAGCTGTTAGGCTTGGGAGTGCATATTAAACAAATAACTGGGGGAGAGCGAGCGAGAGCGAGCGAGCGAGAGCGAGAGAGCAAGCGAGCGAGCTTCGGGAGCCACTGGCTACGAGTCTGCCCCAGCCCATGACCGGCACACCCGCTCCCTGTCCTTGCAGCTGCCCTGGGCCTTTGCCAAGTGAAGGACGCATCTTGAACGAGTGGGCAAGTTGAATGAGTTCGCCTGCGTGAATAAAGCACTCATCCTCCAGAATAGTCTCTTAGAGGGGCCTGGTGTGAATTGGTCCCCCTGTGGCTCCCGTGAGAGAGGGTAGGAACAGGTGTCTGCCTTGCAAGCGCGTGGGACCCGTAGGACTGGCAGGTGGCCAGAGCTTCGCCTTTTCAGCCTCTACACCCCACTGTAGTGGGAAAAGTAATTACGCAGTGAGCCCGGGCTGTTGGGATCACTTGGGTAATGCTATTCTGAATGTTGATAGAATTCTGGACGCTTTCTGTTCTATGCCCAGGATGCAGGCAAGGGTGTTCTAAGAAAGATACCTCAGTATTTCCAGTAGGCCCCTTGCTGCCCAAGTAGGAGAAGCCGATTTTAGCTCTCTTGTGCTACAAATCGTCCTCCTTCCTCTCTGAGCCGCTTCTCACGATGGAGATGGAGCCCGTGTGGCAGGGGCTGGCCATGCTCACGTCCAAGGCACCGGGCCCTCCTTGGATTCACACGGTCTCCTTCTGAAGCACAGGTTTATTTTGACCCATAACGTCTCTGTCCTTTCTTTTGGGCAGGGATGGAACCACAGATGTGACGCGGACCATGCACTTTGGGACCCCAACAGCCTACGAGAAGGTAGGGTGGAAGCAAAACACTTGAGAGAGCTCCCCCCCCCCCCCAGCTTTTCATTAAGAAGAGGAATGGCTGTTGTGAAAAGGGATTGCATAAATAAGTAAAAAATTATATGTGGGGCAGTAAAATAGCTCATTACTGTGGAGTCAGGCTTATCACCTTTATGGGGAGTGATTTAATTAATCATCAGAGGGTAAGCCATCTGGGGAACTTTAAAAAGCATTCTTTTAAGATTAAGGCAGCTCGGCGTCAAGTTTAAACAGCTTCGGTCTTTCTCTTGAGGGAGGAAGTCTGGGGGAGGGGGGGAGTGGAGTAGTAATGGATGACGTGTGTCTAGATGCTATTCTGAACACTTCCCGACCCACCTCCCCCTCTCACGTTCGGAGGCTTTCCTTTGTAGGAGCTCCCGGAAGTGAGACACTCGCTGCCTGGTAACTGGCATCCCTGCCTCGGAAGCAGCTGTGAGGAGTTCAGGGACCTGGAGTGACAGGTCCTCCCAGCTGTTGATGGGCTCCGTGGCCTTGAAAGAGTCACTTAGGGCCTATAAAAGATGTGGGAACGAGTCACTCACCCCTTTGGTTGGCCCTGAAGTCCACAAAGCCAGCAAGTTCCTGGCTCTTAGTCACTGCTCTGTCCAGTTGGGCTGAGTGGAAGAACAGTTTTCTCCAAAGGCGTTCTTTCAGGGGGTGTCCCCAAGGAAGGGTGTGCCACGGCATGAGTTGCTGTGACACTGGCTTCACAGCCTTGGCGCCTCTGTCGTGTCCATTTGGGGACACCAGCATGTTGGACACATTGGGACCTGGGCCTGGAGCCCTTGAGGTGACTCCATGCTGTGGGACGAGCCCAAGTGTGGGTGAGGAGTGGGGTTCCTGGTGAACTGTACAGCCTTCTGTGTACCCCCAGGCAGTGAGGCCAGCCCTTGATAGTGCATGGTGGTACTCAGCCTGCTGCCAGAGTCAGCTGGCCTGGCTCTAGGGGCAAACAACTGAATCTCTCGGCGAGGTGAGGACCACAGTGGTGCCCATGGGGTGAAGTGCGGGACCCGGAGGGATGTGCAGTCAGTGTGAGCTGCTCACAGCACTCCTCCTCCCCGGCTTTCTGCGGCTGCCCTGACAGAGCCCGTCAGAATGGCCACTACGGGGCAAGGTTCTGTGAGTCACCTCTCTGACAGTTGTCTTTTATGACATTTTCGTTCAAGATTTGATGGAAAGTTGGCTCCATGGTAACCCTCCTACCCCTCCCCCCCCACCTTTTTCCTTGGTACCCCGGTGTGCTCTGTGGCATTGCTAAAAACCTCAACAGGCAAGAGCTATGCTGTCAGCCAACCTCTGCCCCTTCTCTGCAACGCGCCCTCTGGGCTTTCTTTGGCAGGAGTGCTTCACCTATGTCCTCAAGGGTCACATCGCCGTCAGTGCCGCCGTTTTCCCGACTGGAACCAAAGGTAGGTGGCTCCTTCTGCCTCGTGGTGGCCCCTTCTGCCACGTGATGGCCCCTTTCTGCCGGCATCAAGCATGTTTGAGTCGAGGGATGGAGCCTTGCCCTGGCTCGCAGTGGTAACCCTCAGCCGGCTCCAGGCCCAGCGCTGCACATGGGGGTGCTGCTTGGCGTGAGGTTGCTGCCCACGGACTGAGCTCAGAGGGTCTCCCAGGGAGCTGGCTCAGGGCTGGGCCTTGGTGTCAGTTGTGGACCTCTCTCCTGACCCTCTATGGCAGTGGTTCTCAACCTTCCTAATGCCGTGACCCTTTAATACAGTTCCTCATGTTGTGGTGACCCCCCCAGCCATAACATTTTTGTTGCCACTTCATAACTGTAATTTTGCTATTGTTATGAATTGGGCGACCCCTGTGAAAGGGTCATTGGACCCCCAAAGGGGTCGTGACCCACAGGTTGAGAACCACTGCTCTATGGTGCAGGAGGAAACCTGCAGGCAGCTCTCAGGAGGGGGTCCACCAGGCTTAAAGGCTTTGGGCCTTCCCATCTGCCCTTCACCATGGGGCCAGGGTTTTTGCTGGGATTTATTTCTCTGGCAGCCGGACTTTAGACAGACATCCTCCTGTGCTGGAGGACTGATGGAGGGGCCATTAGACTGGGAGTGTACAGGCCCTAGGCTTTGAGTCTGGCCAGGTCAGGCACACAGTCTCAGGCCCATTTTCCTCCTCTCTGGGGACTGTGTGCCAGGTTGCAGTTGAGCCAGAGCCCGGTCATTCTGAAATCATAGGGTCTCAGAGTTGGGAAGGGAGCTTCTACGCCATTGACTACAGCCGCACCTGCTGCAGGCCCCTGTCCCTCATGCCAGGCTGGCAAAACAGCTCCCCCAGCTTCAGACTGTGCTCCGGTGTGGCTGGGGAGCCACCCTCCTCTAGAGCTTGGGCTCGTAGAAAGTTCTTCCTCGTGGTGGGCACAAATCTGAAGCACCCAGTAACTTTACCCGCTCAGTTCCGTGTCACCCTCTGGAGCCAGACATCATAAACTCATCTCCAAAGGGCGTCGTAAACGGAAAAGCACTGTGCCAATAGCAGCCAATGGCTCTTTTTCAGGCCACCTTCTCGACTCCTTTGCCCGCTCAGCCCTGTGGGATTCCGGCCTAGATTACCTGCACGGCACAGGCCACGGTGTTGGGTCCTTTCTGAACGTCCACGAGGGTCCCTGTGGCATCAGCTACAAGACGTTTTCCGATGAGCCCCTGGAGGCGGGCATGATCGTCACCGATGGTAGGTGGCCCTCACGCAGAGGCACGCGCGCCTTCTGAGGCTTCTCTTGGGGGCTCTGTGCGGTGGTTCCTCATTGGACAATCACTCCCGAGCACTTTGGACAGAAGTTCCCTCCCTGTCACCTTGAATTACCCAGCATCGGACAGCTTTTCTGATCACTGAAGGGGAAAGTGAACATCTTTTGTCCCCCACGCCCCAGGGGAAAGCTGACTTCATAGCGCCATCAGTGAGCTTTGGCTCCTTGATATCCGGGCCTTTTTCCTCACAGATGATGTTGGGCAGTAAGGCCTCCCTCTTCTGCCCTCTCTCGGAATGCCCTCTTCTTGGGGAGTGTGCTTTCGATGGCTGCAGCCTCTGCTTTACAGAGACACATCGTTTATTCATTCAGCAGACCCCTGGCCAGGGAGCTTGCAGCCAATTTCCAGGCCCTGCGGAGTCAGCAGAATGTGGCCACATGGGTGGAGGCACCGGGGTTCTGGTCCCCGAGCTGTGTCGCCTCCTCTTTCATGGGAGGGCTGGGGCCTGTCCTGCCGGGCCTGGCAGCTCTGGGCAGGAGGGCTCCCCGTTGGCCGAGTCTCAGCGTGGGCTTTGCTTTGTTGCAGAACCTGGCTACTATGAAGACGGGGCTTTTGGAATTCGCATTGAGAATGTTGTCCTAGTGGTTCCTGTGAAGACCAAGGTATTTTTCTCTCTTTCTCTTCTTTCTTAACTTCCTGTGTTTCTCAGTGGGCCAAGACGACGGCTTGAGTCTTGGGCCCCCAGAGTGTCCTCTCCGGGGGCCAGGATGGAGCCACAAAGTGACAGGGGCTTTTCTGGGTAACACGCCCCTTTCTTACAAAGTCAGAGAAGGAGACCTTTATTGTGCCGGCCCTCTGACCCTGTTTTCACGGGGGAGGGGGCGGGGTGCAGGCATGTCCTGGGCTTGCCGTGGCTTGGGGCTCTGGGCTTGCCCGATGGGGCTCCTGTGAGGCCTCTGCTTCTGGGGGTGCTTGGCGAAGGGGCTGATTTGCAGGTTCCCCTCAGACCTGAGTCAGAATCGCCAGGGTTTGGGGGCTGGGAAGCTGCAGGTCCAGCACACTTGCCCGGTGATTTTTATTGAGTTAAGACACCCTGAGTTAAGGCCGTGAGTCAGGCTTCCTATGGGAAAAAAGACAGTGTTTTACCCTCTTCCCCAAACTGACTGCCAAGAGACCACAGGGCTTTAGGCACAAGGCTGTGCCCTAAAGACCTGCTGCTTCCCCTCCGTGGGGATTAAGGAAATACAGCGCTTGGAGGGAAGTAGCTTCGGAGTCTTCAAGGAGGCCACCTGCAGGAACCTGTTCTTACAGGGGGCTCTGCATTGAGCAGAGACCCAGCATGCACTTGTGTGCCCCTGGCTGATTACACACACACACACACACACACACACACACACAC